ATCCTAAATCAGAATTTTCAATTCTAGTCCAGCATCAATTAGCTCGAACCAACATTTTTAACCCTTGTTTAGAATTTACTATTTGGAGTTGTTTTTTTTTTTTCGCTGTTTTTTAGACATTTATAACATATAAATTCCGATGTTTTTATATATCTAACACATAAAAATTTTAAAATATCATTACTTTTAACTTTTATAAAATGAAATACACACTTGCATGCATAGGTAAGGTAGTATGTATGTAAGAATTTAAATTTAGGCTTTCGTTATGTAAATATATAGGAATTGTGTGGTATGCATGTAAATCTTCCTTTTATTTGGTTAGATTTTTATTGTAACATTTACATGTCTCATTAAATGGAAGATCTGACAGATCGGAATGCTTGTGATTTACAGTTTGATGCTCTTATTGCTGCCCTGCCTTTGGAAGGCGGCGAAGAGGCACAGGTGAAGAGAATAGCTGAGCTCCAGGTGTGTAGTACTGACGCCATCTCTGAAATTAGCCATATTCGAAAGCAGAACTAGTAAATGATGAGAATATTTCGCTGACTTTAAAAAAAATCATATTTTAGTTTTAGAGAATTATTTCTGATTTGAAGTTCCTAACTTGTTCCAGGCTGAGAATGAAGTAGTAGGACTTGAACTTCAGAAACAGCTCGAGGCTGCAGGTATTTATTTTTCAGTCTAAACAGGGACATTTGCAGACATTCCACCCAATTCCTATGTATTTACATATGCAACACTTAAATTATACCTTTTTTTTTGCATTTATGCCCACCCAAACCTTTGATATCTCACCCATAAAAAAAAAAGGACACTTTACTTTAAAGAAATGAAATGCACCTTCTCATGTATGGTTAAGGTGACATACATGTAAAAATTGAAATTTAAGTGTTATCTATGTAAATGTATAGGAATTGAGTGGTATGTGTGCATGTCCTCTTCGTGAGAAAAGTGTTAACATGAGTCCTAGAGTTTATAGAAGTTTCAAATAGTCATCACATTTTCTTAATGGGGGCTAGAATATTACTCTATGGGGATTAAGTTTAGAGTATATTAAAAGAATCGGCGGATTAATTTGATACTTTATATGTACTCTTGGGACTGAAATGGCTCCATAAAAATAGTTTTTGGGACCATATTGGCACTACTTTACTCAAATCCTCCTATATATGTAAACAAATTTGGTGATTTCAACTGTTTTTCAGAGCAGGAACTGAAACTGGTTCAGGCTTTGTTTTGTCAAGCTTCAGACAACTGTTTGAATCTGAAGAAAGCAGATTGATTTTCTCTACTGTAAGTAAATACCTGACTCCTTTGGTGCAGAGCCTCATAATTCATGTCTCTTTGCTTATATGATTGTAATATTTGAATGTTTAAATTATATTTGCTTCTATATCTATAATTACTTATTTTATACGGAGTTTTTTTATTTAATCTACGGAAAATAGGATAAATATTTTACTAGATGAACATTGAATGATGATGTAAGCACAAAAAGAAGGGTAATTCGGCCTTGGTGAATTATTTCATAATTATTTTAATTTTTAGGCTGATTTTTTTTTTAGAATTATAATTATTTTTTTAATTTTCCTTAAATAATTTTTTATATGATCCAATGATAAAAATAAATAAATATTTTTTTATTATTAGATTGTTGAATTTCCTCATTTTAATTATTATGTAATAATATAGTTTTATGAAATTTATGACAATAATTTGCTTTTTTAAAGGATGTATAAGCCGAGATAGAGAAGAAAGTATTGTGTGGACATCTTAGTTTGTTGGTTGAGGCAATCTTTCAATCAATCAAGTTCAAAATTGTGTGTATGTGGGGTGGTGCTTGTTTGCGACTAAATCTGTTCAAATTTTTGAGGCTCAAGGTTTTCTGCAGTTGAATTTTTTTCTACCTCAGAATATAATTAAATAATTTCAAAAAATGAAGGGGAGATCCGAATTTGATATTAAAATAAAATAATGTAAATAAATAAATAAAAATCAACTGAACATTTTTAAGTTGAATTCATCAAAACCTTAAGTTTCAATACATGTCTCATGAGATGCTAAAATGGCTGTATTTTTCCTGCCAGAAAATTTCATACAAAAAAAGATTAAAAAAAAAAAAATAGTTAAATCATTGACATATGATGGTATATTTCGGTGAGTGGCCGTTTGCGGGGCATTGGGGTTTGTATTTCAATCATATTCATATAAAACATATTCAAAATATAGAAGTGTAAATAAAAATGTGTCAGCATGAGTCTCAAACAAATCCAACAGTCAGCAGAGAATATGTGGTGAGTTGGAGCCCTCCAAGGCAGTACGAGAGTCTGGATTTCTCTACCTAGCTCTTGTTAGCTGGGAGAAGCTAATCCATGTTGGATGAAAGTCAACAACCCTCCTAAAAGGTCACCTAGATTGACTTCACAGGGACAATCCAACAGGACTCCTCATCCAACCAACGTCTTCGGATCAACCCTTCGACCATGGCCGCCCTGATCATAAATCGGTCGGACGACTTTTCAGGCTCATGACTTTATAGCTATGTATTACATAAAATGCCCCATATCGTACCTACTTTATTAGGGGTAACTTCTCGAGAGACTCGACCACTGAGATTTGAAGGGAGAAGGGGTTGTCTGGCTGGTGTGGGTCTTCATTGCGCCTGAATCGCTTAGATCCAACACTATCATGGTACTACAAATCCGTGACCCTTTCTGGGTCATGGTTCAACCTTCTACCGTTGTGTCACACTGTTTTTCAAGGAGCGTTCTGCCCTCAAGAAGCTCGCTCACCTCCTAGAGCCATGATAGCCCTCAGGACCTTTACGATATGACATGAAACTTGGTTCACTATTTGGGTTCTTAACTCTTGTATTTCCCTTAGCAAAAACTTTTTCATGAATTCTCTAGTACATTCTGCGTTGGTTGTCTCTTTGGTGATTTTCTTTTTCTTGTTTTTGTTGTGCTACTCTTCTTATCAACGACATGCCTCCACCCTCGCTGAACTTTTTAAGATATTGAATCCAAATCTGTTCGAGAGACACCTATGGAATATTGTGCGAAAAGGATGAAAAGAGCAGACATAGCGCAATAATGATCAGTAAAAACATGTAACGTTTATTCATGGAATGAGCCCCTATTTATGAAAAAGAGGATTATGAGAAGACTGTAAGTTAAGCTCTTAGTGTTTGAGGCTTATAGAGGTAGGTTGGATCCCAACAACCATCTCACCTCATTTGAGTCAGCAATGTGCCTGCTTAAGGTTTTGGACGTTGTTGACCTCACTTTTGGTTGAGGCCTAACTTTTTTAGTTTTTCCTGTTTAGTGGCCTAGGATCTAGCCATAAGACTTTCCTATTGTCTATTTCTAGAAAACTAGAAAAGGAACCATCACTATTAGAAATTTTAAACTCTTCTTTGCTCAATTTGGAGTTCCACATATTGGTCCTAACCTCTAGCGCTTAGTAGGTGAGGTCATTATAGGAAAACTCAAGATGAGTCACTCTTAGGATTGCTTGACCTTAGGGTTGACCCTGGGTGTTGGTCTAGGGCTAAGGAACTCACTTGCAATCACTTGCACTCACAATCACTCACCATTCTAAACTTAAACGTCTATGCTTTGATCACTTGATACTTTTGGGAGACTCATGTAGGTGGTCTCCTAAACCCATTAGTCTTGGGCTAGGTTTTGGCTAAGATCACTACATAGAGGACCCAAAATGGGGTTTCCATTGGTCTATGGCTTATTGATGGTGGTTGGTACCTCAACTCTACCAAGACACCCAACCTAGCCTTTTGCCCCTAAATTCCCCCAAATTACCTAGATACCTTTGGGACCCC